GGGAACTGTATTGAGCACCTCGTTAATTGACCACTACACGGTGAGGAGGTGTCGTACGATCAATCAGGATTATATTTGTACCTGTATTTCACTATGCACACACACGCACACCCTCACATTGTAATGTACAAAACGGATGTATCGACTTATAAACAGGCCTTTGCAGAGCGCTTCTGTTGGATTTAGACTGTGATACTTGTGACCACATGGCCTTAGGAGATCTGCATGCTTATTTTTTTATCGTCACAACACGGGATTGTAAGTGTATAGTGCACAGATACTACCATACACACGACTGCACAGTCAGATGGGACGATACAACACGTGGCTAGCATGTCAGTATGTACTAATGCTACCGTATTGGTTGCATATCTGATGATTACCGGCTACGAAGGTTGTATGCTGAGACTTCCACTCATTCACTGATAACTGTACCTTCAGATAGTTATTACCATTACATATCTTGTTTTTACATCAACCATTTTCAACTCTAAACCCAAAAACATATCCCACCCAAGCCCTGAACCCAAACCCTACGAACCCTAAAACAGAGACCAAGGTGTTGTTTGGGTATCTGTGTACCATTCTGCCTACGCCAACTTCTCGGTATGAGATTAAGAGAGAGGCTCTGCGTATGATACACCTCCATGCACCGCAATTCCGTACAGTTATGCTGGCTGAGTTGGACGCCAGTGTTAGGAAAGGTGGGATAAGTATATATAATCATGTAAAGCACTCGGGAGTGTTTTAGTATTGTTTGTGTTTGCTTTACTATTGCGGTTAGGCTATGTTGACCGAATTGGATGCATGTGTTAGGAAAGGTGAGGTAAGTATATATAATAGTGCAAAACACTCTGGAATACTTTACTTTTGTTTGTGTTTGCTTTACTATTGCGGCGAGGCTATGTTGGCTGAGTTGGATGTCAGGGTTAGGATAGGTGTTTAGACCAAAATGTAAAGTATTCGTGAGTGCCTTACTATAATTTGTATTTGCTTTACTATTTTGGTGAGGCTATGCTGGATGAGCTAAACACCAGTGTTAGGAAAGATGAGATAGATAGATTATAAAATGTTAAGCAATCAAGAGCGCTTTAATATAATCTGTGACTGCTCTACACGGTAGTGTTAGGAAAACTTAGAAGTTTATTCAAAATAAAGTACTCACGAGCGCTTTACTATTGTTCGTGTTCTCTTCAATCTTGTCGCAAGGCTATCCTGACTGAGCTCGACGCCATAGCTAGGAAAGGTGGGATACAATATAGCGCATCCTTGAATGCTTTGCTATTGTGTGCAATTGTTTTTGTATTGTAACATTTTTATTACTTATTCATATCCATTTATCTCCACTCATTGCTGTTCATATTTAATCATATTTTTCATAGTAATTCCTTTTAGTATTATGTTGCTACATATACTAAAATAGACACCTACTCCAAATCGCTGAAGTACTATAAATGACCTTTCCAAATTATGTATCTATTATAAACAGTATTTATCTCTCAATTACTTCATTACATTGAATCTTCAATTGCTTTATTATTATGAATAGTATTTACCTTTCAATTGTTTTATTATTTGACATTGAATTTTCAATTGGTTCATTTTTATGAATACTATTTATCTTTCAATTGCTTCATTGGTATAAACGGTATCTATCTTTCAATTTCTTTATCATATAAACAGTATTTATCTTTCTATTGCTTTTAGGTAAATCTTGCGCAAATCGCTATCTAGAGCACGGTGGTATTTATTTTTCGATTATTTTACTACTATGAATAGTAAATATTTCTCAATCGCGTTGCATTTACGTTTTCCTTTGCTATACTTAATCGTATTTACTCCTCAATTGCTTTGTATTTCCATACTGCTTTACTATTATAAATGGTATTTACTCCTCAATTCTTTTACGTTTACATATTGCTTTACTATTATAAATGGTATTTACTCCTCAATTCTTTTACGTTTACATATTGCTTTACTAGTATAAATGGTATTTTCTCCTCACTTGCTTTACATTTGCAGATCCCGAATTGAGAGAGGGGCTTTATAAAGAGCTCAAAAGTCTGTCTGAGCACCCACTCGCCGACCTAAGTGCAATGGCAGCGCAAACAATCAATGTGTATCTCAGAGAGTTAGCTGAAGAATTGAGTGTCACAGATATGGGTATGTCTATTTGTAGTAAGTAAGTATATATGTATAAGGGTATGTATGAGTGTGGCAAAAATGTATGTATGAATGGTGTTTTCTTTAGTGTATATGTGCAGAGATAATTAGTAGCAAGTACATGACGAATGATAAATGATGACCATTCAATGGAGATGTACTTTTTTACGTTTGTCTTTGCGAGTTGGCTGAAGTATTAGCGTGACAAATACAGCTGGAGATCAGTGTCATACCTGTGTACGTATATATATATATATATATATATATATATATATATATATATATATGTGTGTGTGTGTGTGTGTGTGTGTGTGTGTGTGTAG